CAAAGATCCTGCAAGACAGGTAGGTGTTTCTGCCCGCTCCATGTTGGGCAAGAGCAGAAGCTCCCGCCTGAGGTACACAGCGGGTGGGGCTGGAGCCCGAACCTGAACTCTGCTCTGCAGCAGTCACTTCTCCCCGGACCTGTTTCCTTTACAGAGGTGAAGACTTGGGCCTGCCTGATCCCTAACCTGCCCTCCAGCTACAGAAAAGGATGCTCTATAAATCTGCTCCATGCCCCTGCCCATACCCCAGCTAAGACTGGCATGAGATGTTGAGGGCTTGGACACTCCCACCTCCTCACCCAGAATCCAGAGGCAGAGCTTAATGATAGTCAAGGTCATCTTCCTGTCACTTGTTCCTGTCCCTTAGGGCACTGCTGCCCCCACCCTGTCCTTTCCGTCCTCACACTGCTGTCCAGCCATGTGCCTGGGTCTCCAGTGAGACCTATACTCCTGGGGGCTGCAGGTCACCTCCCAGAATCTCCTTCCCCAGAGCAGCCTCTGTCTTCCTGAGATGCCTCTTATCTGCCATGATGCACACTTTCCTGCCTCCCCAGATATATTCATAGGGTCACAGAAGTCTGGAGACAAGAAGGTCACTCTGTTTCAGCTCCTGAGCCCCTGCATCCTCTCCAATCTTGGGCCTCCACTGCATATGCCCACTGAGAAAGGACATCGACCTGTCCAGCCCAGCTCAGACTCCAACGTGCAGCAGATACGTGACCTGTGTCCATTCTCACTGAATCCTCCTTATTAGCCCATCTTACCACACAAGAACCATGGCTCAAAACAGACACAGTGAGGACCAAGATCACACACCTTGTTTCGTTTTGGATCTTACAACCCTAAAGGCTCATGTTTTGAAGGCCTGGTCCCAGCTGATTGTGCTGGTGCAGATGATGAAACATTTAGGATGGGGTGGAGGGAGGAAGTCAGATCACTGTGGTTGTGCCTGGTCTCTCCCTCTCTTTCTCTCTCCCTCACTCCTCCCTCCTAGTCTCACTCTCCCTCTTCCCAGCCATCATTGTCATACAAATGCAATTTCTCCATGCTATCCCACCTTGCCACAGGCCCAAAAGCAATAGGACCAGCAACCCAAGGACTGAAACCTCTAAAACCGGGAGTGAGGACAAGCTTTTCCTCTATATACCCTATTAAATCAAGTATTTCATCACAGCAACAGAAGGCTGTCTAACATACACTCCCAAGAGGCCAAGCCAGGATAGAAAGCCTGGAATGTCTGAGCCCATGCTCTTGCCATGCCCCAGATGCCTCCTTAAATGTTGTTTCAGGTTTATAAGACAGGCCTGAACTGCAAGACCCAGGACAAAACCCCTTTCTTCCCCATGAGATCTCTCCTTCATGTTCAAGATGAGGTCAGACATTAGGATGTTTCTAATGTCCCTTTACGCTGAGTCCAGGCACAGCCAGTGGGCCCCAGCTGGCCTTGGACTCAGGAAGGAATGACTATACCCAGAGCCTGCCAGATGGGATGAGGTAGAGAGGAGATCTAAGGGCCTGCAGAGGGAGTTATCAGAACCCTGGAATCTCTCCTTGCCAATAGAACCCCAACAGGACTTTCTAAGAACCCCAACAGAGAGAGACTGCAGGCAATGAGGAACCCACACTCCCAGAGGCTCCTGGGATGCCAAATCTCAGACAGGAGATGGTGAAGAGAAAGAGGCAAGCGCATCCCAAAGATCCAATAGCACCTTCCTGGTGCCCCAGCTGGAACAGTGCAGCCCAGAGGAAGCCACCAGGACTCTGCGTCCCCCTAGCCTTTCCACACAGAGGTGGCAGCAGAAGGGACTTCTACCACCTGCCTGCAGTTCTCTAGGGTGGCACGTTTGCAAGCCTACAGCACAGGTGTGGGGTCCTGAGGCCCCTGGGCTCCAGCCTTGTCTGCACACCCACCATGCCATCCTTTCCTGTGTGTCTTCCTGGGACACGGAGCCAGATGCCCTGCTCTAAGCTTATGTCTTCATATTTCAGAAAAGGACATGAGACCTAGGAACTGGCATGCCCAAGATCCAACAGGAGATTTGGAGCAGAGACTGGGGTGAATTAGTCCCCAGGCTCCCATTCCTGCCTCCTTTCTGTTATGCTCCCCACAGTCATCCACTTGGGTTCCTGGTGGCCCCTCCTTCCAGCTGTTTGGAGTTTCCCCAGACAGACATCCACTCGCCCAACTCCAGGGCTGCTCTGGGTGGAGCAGAATCCAGGGGCAATGAGGAGAAACTGTCACGGTCCTCAGAGCCTGCCTGGCCTGCGTGGTGGGGAAAAGCCCCAGAGCTCAGAGATCCAGAGCTGTGTGGGGTCCAGTTATCTCTGGACAGCCGACAACAGGGAGTTGATTCAGTGAACTGCACATCCAGTAATTTCCTCATTTGTCTTGTCAACATCCTTGTCCCACAGTGTCAAGTCCATTACATAAGGATTTTCTGCTAGGAAGATATTTAAGTGTTGAGTCCTAGAAGCAACAGGGGTCTGGGTTACAGTGAGGACCTCAGAGCTCCAGCGTTCAGAGAACAAGCCAAAGTCACTTCTTTACCAGAGTAAACTCAATGGCACCTGGCAGCGCAGAAGTAGCCAGCAGGTACCAGGACGATGGGGAGGGGATAACACAGGGGTGCATCTGGACCACTGGGGCACCTCCACCACAGCACACCTGGGCCAACAATGTCTCATCAAACATCTAAGTCCCAGAGCACTGTCTAAGAGAACCAACCCAAAGTGGACCGCTATTCAAAAATAATCAAGAAACATGACAGTCAAAATGCTGGTTAGAAGGGGCTTCAGCCCAGCCTGTAGGATGCACAAGAGTCAGTATGAGGCTGCTGTAGCCCACACTGCTAGGATTCCTCCCTACCTGGAGCAGGGGTCAGTGGCAGAGTGCTCAATGTAACTGATCAGCTTTGAGGTCTCCACTGCACTCTCTACCACCCCAACCACCGCCAGAGCCCAAGGCCATGTCCACTGGGCCACCACAGCTTGGATCTGGCATGTCCTCCAAGGCCTGTGTGTCCAGCCTGGCACTAACGGAGGGTGGTAGAAATTTTTAAGGGGTGGCTCAGCGGCCAGGTCCTGAGGTCAGAGGGAGCTTGCCCTGGAAAGGTACTACAGGGAGCTGGCCTCTTCTTCTTCCTCTATTTAACTTCCTGGCCATGAGGTGAACAGTTTTGCTAACTGACTAACATGCCTGCCAGTGCCTCCCTCTTCACATGGGTCCAGGATTTCTGCTGTCAGGAGCATATGTACCAACCCCACCTCCCACACCTGGTGCAGGCATTCACCACAGTGGGGCGGGTCGCTTTACAGAAGCAAAAACTGGTTCCCAGGTAGGCAAAAAAGCAGGCATTCCAGTGGCTTGTGCTCTTCCAAAACTCAACCTTTTGTGAGAAATTTTTCTTTATCTTTCATTTCTCTAGTTAGGGCAAATTAATTTTTCTCATGGGGCAGTAATAATGAAAACAATGGTTGAGAAACATGGTCACAGAGAATTCTTCATCCAAAAAGTTTAGAGCCTCACTGGAAAGTCTGATTCATAGTTTATAGCAGTGATTCTCAACTAGCAGTGACTGTGCCCCACAGGGGACATTTGGCCATGTCTGGGGATGTTTTGGTTGTCACGACTTGAGGATGTGTTAGTGCATCTAAGGGACAGGGAAGAGGGATGAAACTAAACCTCCTACAACACCCAGAGTGGTGCTCCAGGCCAAAGTGTCTGCTTTGCAAGCAGTAGCAGCAAAGGAGCTGCTCCTGAAAAGGGCCACGGGGCCCCCACAATCTGCCTGTCAAGACTGCCACAGAAGCACCTGGAAACCTGCAGCCTGCAGAGAACAAGCCCTGCTGCGGCTATCTGAGCACCACTGCTGCTCCTGGAAGAGCTCAACCTTCCCAAGCTCCAAGCAACACCAAGGTGGAAACCCATTCCCAAAGCCTGAGCAGGGCAGGTGGCCCTGAGCCCCAGGCCTCCCTAATGCCAGAGGGACAAAGGCCAAGACTACAAAGCTCACCTGCTTCTGCACACTGACCCAGCAGCCAAGCCAGAAGCCAGCATGAAGTCTCTCACTCCCAGGAAAGGCCAGGGGGGAATGACTAGGACTGGGGAGTCCTCCTGGGGTGTCTTCCTCAGGGGTTCAGGAGCCAAGGAAAGACCCAGAGCAGACCAGAGTCCAATAACACTAGTAATCTAGAACTCTCCTATCCAAAATACTTAGATTAAGAAATGCTTCAGAATTCAGTTTTGTTTCAGGGCTTTTTACTTGTTTGTTTGTTTTGTTTTTGGTTTGGTTTGGTTTGGTTTTCTTTCGGATTTTGGAATATTTGCACATACACAGTGAGCCATCTTGGTAGTAGAACACAAACTTCATTCAATTGTTTCATGCACACCTGATATTGCTGAATCTGCACAGTATTTTTAGTGCACAGCCTCCATCCCATGTGTCAGGTGTGGGTTGCTCCACTGTGACATATCAACAGCCAAAAATGTTGGATTTTGGAAAATTTTGGATTTGGGGATTTTTGAATTAAAGGTGCTCAACCTGTACCAAAAACCACAGCTATGTTTCCTGAAATCTCCCACAAGGCTTGCAGCACATCATGCACGTTATGGTTCACTGACTCACTCATGGCTCACCATAATCCCCACTTCACAGCAGAGGAAACTGAGGCACGGGGAGGTTAAGCAACTTGACCAAGGAAAAGAGCCCCAGATCAAAGACTCAGGGAACTGGGAAGAAGGAACAAGGACAGGTGAGGGTGACATCAAGCCTCAGCTTCAAGACCATGAGAGTCAAAATGCTAGAAGGAAGGCCCTCAAATGCTTTGCTCCAGTCCACCACCAAGGAGGGGACACGGTGTCCTTCTCTACGGGACAGGCCCCCAGACTCAGAAACACCAAGGGATAAGCTAATACAGTACAGAGTCAACGGCAGCCCACAGCGCATGAGCCACGCCTCAAGGATGAGACAGCAGGCCGTGTCCCAGCCAGGGCCACTTACCTGAGAAGATTGAAGCAAGCCTGAAGATGTCGGAGAGCCGCGAGGTCACAGGCTCATAGGGGGAGGCCTCATAGAACTCCTCACCTGGAAGAGAGGTCGGTGTCAGATACAGCTCCCTCCCCTCGCCACTCTCAGTCTGGGAAAGGTCTGCTATGAGGGCGAGTTCCCTCAGAAGGATGAGCCCTTCACCAAATGCAAAGTGCTGCCCGGCAAATCAGGAATGAAAGGCTGACCCTTGCACATGGGCAAGTTACTTCCCTCCAACTGGCAACGATGCTCCCCCAGTGCAAGTGCTACTGCCTTGTCCTCTTCTGTCACCTCCCTACATGAGCAGTCCCTTTGACAAACACCCAAATGCTTCTGGAAAGGAGAACAGGGAAGGTAGAACATAACCTGTGAAGACTAAGTACCACTCAGAGGATCTGATGCTACAGGCCCCATGACCATTGAGAACAAACTATTCATTTTATAAGGAAGGATTCTGTGGTGGTCCAGAAAGGAGAATTCACCTGCCTGACGTCACACAGCTTCTCTAGACAACTTCCCTCTACCTCTGGTGTCCTGGCCCTCTTTCCACACTGATTGTGCAGGTCCCTCCAGAAGAAAAATTCTTCTGTTTGATTTCCACCATGTGTCAGAAAAGTCTGGTGGGAGGAGCTGAAGTTGCTAAGTGATTGGCCCAAACCTCTGCTCCTGTCTCCCCAACACCACCCACCCCCAAACAACCTGTGCCATCCCAACACATGTCCTGAGACTTTTCCTCAGGGCTCTGGGGGTGCAGCAGGGATCTGGGGGTTAATAAGAAAGCAGGAGATAAAGGGCACAGGGTTACCCTAGGGACCCCACTACCACCTCATCAGGAGCCCCATGTGTCTGCCAGCACCTCTCAGGGAAGGAAATGTCCTCTCTGGGAGGAAAAATCAACATAGACTCACTCAGACTGCATGGGGTGAGGGGCAAGTGGACAGGAGACTCATGACCATATACAACAATAACCACTTCCCATCCTGGGAGCCTAACTACCCCTGGCTGTGGGGAGCTGAGTGAGTGGCATCTGTGGGGCCACCTGCAAGAAGAAACAGCCCTCAAAGTGATCTCAGAATGCTCCTGCAGGAGGATACTCAACCAGCCCAGGTGGACCCTGTGGGGACATGGGGGTCACAGAGTAAGGAGTCCACCTGCTGAGGCCAGCAGACTCCCGGGAAGGGTCCCAAGCCCTGAAGCACAAGAGGAAGCATGCACATTCCTGGGGAGAGGGCCTCCACCCTGCACCTTCCTTCATAGGAGCACCCCATGTGCCAGGCCACACGCAGCAGTGCCCCACCAGAATCTGCCCAGTGGCCTCTCCCAGGTGCCTGGCATCTTTATGGTCTCTGTCCCAACCCTGCTCCCTGATGACCTCAGTGACCTCCATTCTACTCACTGGCACTAAACTTACACCTGTCCTAGGAAACCCCTGGGGTTAGGGCCCCCAGATATTGCTGTCTATTGGAGCTGAACAATAGAAAAGCTGAGGAAGCATTTTCATAATAAAAATAAATAAATAATATGCTTTCAGCATGCCACACTGCTGAGTGTGCTTTAGACACTTCAAGGCAATTCCATCCTCTTCACTGCTCTGAGAGTAAGGACAACTGTTCCCCTCCTGTACTGGCAAGAAACAAGGGACAAAACATTAGTAACTCGCCCAAAGTGACTCAATATTATGCAGCTGGGAAGCGGCAGCTCCAGGCTTCAAAGCCAGGCTCCAGGACCCAAGTGCTTTGCCACCATGCACACTGTCTGCAAAATGACACTGTGTTGTGGCAGCCACCTCCCTCTCCCCTGAACACTGTCTTTGTTCCATTTTTCAAAGGAACAGTCCGCACCGCCACAGCTGGCCTTCCCAACTGCACAGCGCCAAGCCTGGGTAGGACCAGCCAGAATCAATGACCAAGAGGGTACCTGGGGGAAGAGCCTCCCCCAGGGGCAGTTTGGAGAAGCCCATAGTCTCTAACTTCACTCAGAGTTGCCCTTCCTACAGCAGACTGGACCAGTGGGGAAATCCCAGGTCCCAGCACTGAGGAAAGACTCAGGATGTCAGATACTGGGGATGGACACATGGGAGACACCTTTGCTCTTCACTGTGGAAGGATCAAGAGTTCCCAAGTTTTAATATCACCTGGCTTCGAACCTCCAAGTGGCTGACAGTGATAGCACTGTACTGGCCGAGATAATGGCAGAGAAGAAAAAGGACCTCAGGCCGTGCAAACTCCTCAGGCCAGCAAAAGAGACCAGGATATTCTGTGAGGACCCTGGACCCAAGCCTGGGTCCTGTCGCCAACTCACTGTGTGCCCCAAAGCCACCTCACCGTTCTACACCTCAGATTTCCCACCCAATTAGGGGCAAGCCCAAGCCATCTCCAGCTCCTTTGCAGTTCAGATTCTGGGAACTAGAACTAGTGGCCACGTCCTCAGAAGCCACCCACCTGCCACAGCCCACTCGCCTTCCTCTACTGCCAATGCAAGCAGAAGCCTTGAGCCAGCATGGAGAGCTCAGCCTCAGGTAGAGGGAGAATTCTGAGCCAAAGCCTGGGTGAATCACAACCACCCACAGGGGCCCAGGGAAGCCAAGAATGAGAAGGAAAGTTCAAACCCACACACATCTCTCCTCCCCTCCTTGCCCTCCCTGGCCCAGGCCCAAACCTGCTATTAAGTGTGATTACAGAGCAGGGGGAGGTTCTTGCAGCCTCCCCAGGGAGACCATTCAACCTGGCTGTGAATAATTAACTGTCAGGTAGACCTTGTCACTCCCAGGGACAGGACCTGCTGTTCAAAGGTCTCCTGGACAGATCTGGAGTCCAAGACACAAGAGTAAATGGGCCCCCAGGGAGAAAAGGCAGACTTTAGTAGAAGGGGAGAAGCTGGGGGTGGGAAAGTTCTCCTAGCCTGGAAGTGGCCACCATAGGGACCTCAGCTTCTTAGGTGCCATTGCTCTCAAAGGCACAGAATAAGTGAATAAAAAAAGAAAAAATTATCCTAAGATCCAGATTGAGAGACAGTCATCTTCAGCAAGACACTCCCAAGTCTAAAGGGGCCTTGGAGACACCTCCATCTCAAGATGAGAAACTCCACCACGTCTCCAGCCGCTCCTCACAGGGTCCTGCAGCAAGCTGCCTGCAAGGCTACAGGGAGCCACAGAGGTGGGCAGAGCTGTTTGTGCTAAAGGGCGAGGTAGCCTATGGCTCTTATACCAGCAGTTCTGTCCCTCTCTGTCCACTCTGCAGCCCAAGCAAACCCACCCCAGCCAGCTGCCCACTGTCCTCTAGGCTGACACTGACTGAAGGCTGCCAGGAAGCAAAGAATTAAAACTACTCCAGTCACTCAGGAGCCAGGAGCCTTCACTGCACAGAGCCAGCCTCTGAGTGACGCCCTTTGTCCCCTAGAAAGCAAAGTGCAGGTGTCTTAGTACAGGTTTCCCTCTTTGCTTCTTGTAGCTTCAGGAATCGAGGTTGCCAGGAAGAAGTGTGGCCTGATGCATGAGGAATTACTGTTATTAATGGCAGTAATATTAATAATAATTATACGCACTTCTTATTCGTACATTTGAGCCATTTAAGCACCTGCTCAGGAATCCCTACCTCTGCAGCCTCCAGACCTGCAGCTAGAATCCTCCTCCCTTTCAGGCATCCTGGAGAGAGCTCCTCTTTGATCTAAGCCTCATCTCCTACCTGGTTTTGGACCCACCTGCTGCACACTCCCAGGGCTACAGTCCATGGAAGACATTCCTGTCTTCTCTTCCAATTTCACCACCACCATCCTATCCCAGAATTTAAATTGCTCCACCTCCTCTCATCTTAAAGAAAATCTATCAGCCTTTGTTCTCTTCCCTCTTCACACTAAAATTCTGGAGAAAGTTGTCTGCATTTTTCACTTCCAATCTCCAGCTCCCATCCATTCCCTAACCCGGTTCCTGTCCCCAGCAGCCACCTCAGAAGCTCACCCAAGGACACCAGAGACACTGCCATCCCTCTCCTGCTTGATCAGAAATACTTGCCTCTGCTGGGAATGAGCCCCTCCCCCTCTTATCTGCCCCCAAATTCCTGAACCTCTCCCCTAGAGCCTCCTGGATCACCTTTTCCCATCCTGCATCCTCTAGATCACTGGGCCCAGGGGCTGTGTCACTGTCCTGCTCCTGCCATTGGGATGGCACTCGTGTCCCTGGGTCTACTTATCACCCCCAGCCTCATGTCCACTTCCAAATCTCTCTCTCTCTCTCTCTCTCTCTCTCTCTCTCTCTCTCTCTCTCTCTCTGCAAGTCCACTTCCTCCCTTGAGCTCAAGACAGGTAAGTCCACAGGATATGGTCAATGACAAAGGGCATATGTTCCCAGATAAACCAATCATGCCCTGCCCTCCTCTCCCAAAGCCCTCACCACTGCTTCTGAGCAGCTCCATCTCCCCCTCAGCTGCCCAAGAAAGGAACCAGCTCCTGGACTCTTCTCTTATGTCCCCCTCTCATGAGCCATCAGTCACCAAGACCTGTCGACTCCACCTTCTACAAAGTTCTTAGGCCCACCCGGCCCTTTCCTGCCACCGTCTAATTCCAGCCACCGTTACTTCTGGCCTGGATCCCAACAGTGGCTTCTGAACAGTCCTTCCAAGCAGCTCTCTTCCCTGGCATCACATAGACAAGCGTAGCTCTAATTAGCGCAACCCCTTCCAGGGTCCCACTCCTCCACCTGTGACAGTCCTACAGAAAGACTCGACTGGGGCTCAGACCCCATTGTGTCCTCCTCCAGTGCCACCTTCCTAAACCCTTTGCTTTTGCAACTGACTCACTCTTCAGATTCTTGTCCCATGCAGCCTTCCCCAGAAAGGCTCCTTAGATTTCACAGCAGGGGTTAGATGTCCACCTGAGACATGACTATTGCACCTGGTGCCTTCCCATCACAGCCCCTACACAGTCAAATGACAGAGGACCCCTTACTTACTGCACCCACAACACCCAGCAGGCAGTGCCCTCAGGGAACACCTGCTGAATTAATAGATGAGCATCCACCCAGCTCCTATACTGAGCAAAATCCCCAGGCCCCAGTCTACAGGGACAGGGAATTCCCAAGAGAGGGGCCCTCAGGTTTCTGCTGCCTACACCAAGCAGTATAGAAGATAACCTAGGCCAAGCACAGTGTCGGGAAGCCACATGACTTCATGATATACGAAGAGTGGGTGTCCATGACCCAGGCCTGGGCTCAGTCCCAGCCAGAGCTCAGGGCAGTGGAGTGGCAGAGGCAGCCCTGTCTCTCCGGGCAGCACCCCTGGCAAGCATGTGCTAGCCTTGCCCTCTCTTGAATCTCACTTCCCCAGCTTCCTGCTGCCCTCCGCTCATCTCGTGGAGAAGGGGTTCCCTCACATGGTCCTGGCTTGAGCATCTGTCCCTCCTCTCTGCATGTCACCTCCCTCTTGTTCAGCCTTAGTTCTCCTTTGCCCACCACAACCAGCTATCACTGATCCCCCCACACTGGGCCAGTGGTTCGTGCCTCCAAGTTCCAGGTTCCTCCAGGGGATGGACAGATGGACAGTTCACCCCACGGCCCAGTCCTCCTCCTGAGCCTCGGGCCCCCTCATACCTTCCCACTGCCCACCCACTCTGCCCAGAGAGCGCTTACCCTCTGTCAGCCCCAGATGGATGCTCCAGTAGATCTGCAGGCACTGGAGCTCCTTCTTCATGCCCCGCTTGCAACGGCAGTCGTAGAGCGGGCTCTCCTGCAGGACCTCCAGTGCCGCCTGGCACTCCTTGTTGGCCAGCATGGTGTTACGGTCCCGGCCCGCTAGGCACTGCCGCAGCGTTCGGTACCGGGAGCTGCAGTTGGACTCGGCCGCACACAGCTCATTGGCCCGAACACAGTCCACTGGGGGGCGCCAGCCGTGGAGCTCGGGGCCCTGCAGGGAGGAAGGGCTGGCCAAAGAGCGGAGGGTCTCGTCTGGGTGGTGGGGAGGGAAGACAAGCATGAATGAGGGCCGCCACACTCACCGCCCCAAGATGCCAAGATGCAGGCCTGGGGCTTGGGCCCTCCTGGGAACGCCACACCCATCTTGTACCAAAGCGCACCCAGGCAGCTCGGCAGAACAGCCCTCCTGTGACCTGCAGGGCCTGGCATGTTCCCTGCCCCAGAGTTTGCACTCTGTCTCTGCTTGGTACCAGCCTAGGAGGAGCACAGCAAGTGGTACCAGAAAGGCATCTCTGGAGACCACAGTCGGTCTCGGATGGCACTGGGGCCCTAGGCCTTGCTGCGTGTGCAAAGCAGGAGCTTCCTTTTAGGCCACCCAGCTCCCCTACAAACCTCAGCTCCAGCCAGAGACCCCTCCATCATGGCCTGAGGGCACCAAAAAGTCATTAATGTTCAAAGCCTGCCCAGTTTATTCAGATCCTACCGCCTAAGAATACTGAGACCACAGAAGAGAGATGACAACCCCAGGTCATATACAGAGGCAGACGAAGCCCCTTGGAGCCCTAACCTCTTCATCCTGAGTTGCTAGACTTTCCAAGAAGGCAGTAAGAAATGAGCCCAGCCCTGGCTAAGAGGCTGCCTAGCATGGAGGAGCGACCCCTTCCAGGCATGACCCCTGCACAGCTTCCAGTGTAACCTCACACTACTTGGAGGCCTGAAACCTTGCCTGCTGAGGTCAGGTTCCACTCCCCGCTCCCCGCTGCCCTTCCTCAAGAAATGCACTGGGCATACAGGCGGGCAACTTCCCCTTCCCCCTCTGTGCCCCTCCTCACCACCCCTTGGCTTCTCTGGCTTCCAGCCCCCCAAGGTGCACACCTGTTCTCCCAGTACTGAGGACACTGAAGCAGGAAGATTGCAAGTTCAAGTCCTGCCTGGGAAATTTAGTGAGACCTTGTCTAAAATTAAAAACAGCTGGGGAAGTAGCTTAGTACAAAGGTCCTGAGTTCAATCCCCAGCACTGCAAAAAAAACCAAAATCCAATAAATAAAAAAACAAGGGTTCTGCCCTCAATAGACCGCGTCTCTGAGTGGCCTGGCTTCTCTCTCCTCCTCTCTTTTGCTTTCTTTCCTCCAATCCCATGAAGCCCTCTCCCCTTCTATATTGTTCCTCCTTCCAAAAGCCAAATAATAAATCAATTTCAAAGAGGAAAGCACCATTCCTTCTTCCCCCCTTGCAGATGCAGCCTCACTTCCGGGGCCACCCATCAGTCCACCCTCCTCACCGGCCCCCAGGAGCCTCAGAAAGGAGGGAGTGGAGGGCAAGGTGCAGCTTGCCTGACCCTTTCCGAAGCCACATTCCAAAAATGGTTCCCTCCAGAGATGGACATCCTCCTGCCCTCCCTAAGCCCCTAACTGCAGCCCCTACCCCAGAAAGGCCCCACCCCATAATCAGCCAGGACTGCTTTTTTCAAGACCTATAAAATGATTTGGGAGGCTTCCTCCACTTCCTCCAGCTCCAAAGCATAACAAAATCTTAAACCATCGGCCCCCTCCTCAGGATGCCGCAGAAACCCCCCGTGCCTGTCTCAGCACCAAATTCACGCCCTCTCCCTATGTGGCCGGTTCAGTGGGGGGAGCTACCGCAGGGGGACAGCGACACCTAGGGGCAGAGCTCTGCACAGCGAGGCGGTCACTCCCCAGCGCCCCTAGGGAAAAGGGATCACTCCCACAGGGACCCGGGGCAGGAGAGCTACCACACAGGAGACCTGGAAGGAGAGTAGCAGAGGGTTGGCCCGGGTGGAGGAGGCTTCTGGGGCTAGGGCCAAAGATATTCCTCTACATCGACCACACCTCTGCCCCCAACAGGAAATGCTAGAAGATATGGCCACCCTGAGACAAGACCTGAGCAGAAACCAGCTCAGAGAGGGAGACACAGTCTGCCCAGATGCCGGCTGGAAGGAGAGTCTTGTCCTCCACACAAGCTGAGGTGGCATCTTTCTTTCTGAGCTTCAGCAGATTGCTACATCCCCAATCAGAACGGAGTGCCTCTGGGCCACCCAGGAGCAGCTGAGCTGACACCCCACCACCACCCGCACCTGCTGCCTCCCTCTCCTCAGCCAGCCAGGCCTTGGCTCTCCATGGAGTTGAGGGCCAGCACCCAGCAGGACGCTCTCTTCCCACCTGAGTGTCCAGGGGAGCTGAGATTGGGATATCTTCACATCCTCAGCCTTCTGTAAGCTCAGGATTAATAGCAGGCTTCCAGTTAGGATGTTAGCCTCAGGGGTAGAGCAAAAAGGGCACTGCCTCCCTGGCAGGTAGGGTCTGTAACCCCAAGAGATGATCATTACATGGTCCTACATAGGCTCCCATGCCAAAAGTAAAATCTCCCATTTCCTGCTAACTGGCGCCAATGGTGGGTAGTGACGTGCCCTCAAAGCGCTAGGACCTCCTTTTACCAAGTGTCCCTGACTCTTGTCATTAGCTCCCTTGGGCTTCTGACCTATCAAGCCTGGTCAGAGAAGAGAATCAAGGCAACTCAAGCCTTTAGCCAAGAATATTAAGAAGAGAGCAAAAGGTGTTCTGGCGGAGATTACCAATCCTGCAGAGGGGCAACCTATATCCACCAAGAACAGACATCTGGAGCATCTTCTAGAGATATGGGGGTACCAATAGACAACACAGAGCTCTGGCTGCCTTCCTGCATGCAGTGTCCCCCAGAAGAAACAAAATGCATACTAGATTGTCATCAAGAAGTGGCCCCTTTGACTGGCCCCAGTTTCATTCACTGTCCCCTTGGCACCCTCTCCCTGGATGTCAATACCAGACTTCAGGACAGCTGGGCAGAAAGGCCTGTCTCTCTACACAGTCCTGCACCCCAGGCTCCATTTGGCACCTGAGGGAGAGACCTCAAAAAGCTTTTGCTCCTAGGAGCTCCCCATCTCCCCAGCTGAAATTGGCTGCAGAGTCTCCAACTCCCAAAGGCCTCTGCCCTGAGTGGAATTTCCAACCAATTCCCATCTATGGGCTCTTGGTTACCAAAAGGGTCCTAAAGCTGAAGTTCCCTTAATGCCATCGACCCTGCCCCGTCAAGAGTCTGCTGATGCCCTGTGGTCACATCCCTAAGCTCTCCACCCAGTTTGAAAAGAGATTTCTCAGTGACAGGTAACTGAAGGGCTGTGACCTAGGGGATGCTGACCTACCCCTCTTTCTCACCATGAAGCCCCCCGCCCCCGGGTTGCAGCATTTCTGCTCATACACATAACACACACACACACACACACACACACACACACACACACACACACGCACAAACACCCATGAGCAGAAGTGCTAGTGCCACTTCTGAGAAACAGAAGAGAGTTAATGCCTCAGCCTCCTCAGCTGGAGGCAGCCCTCCTACAGTATGGGGGTCCAGGCAGGGCAGAACTGTTCTCCTTCAGCCCCTGCCCTGGGAAGGTACCCACACCTGGGATCCCTGTCTGCTGGGGGGGGGGGCAGTAGCTTAGCAGCAAAGCAATCTGGCTGTTTTGCCTGAAATACAATTTTCTTTTCTTCTTGGTCTTGATCATTCTAAGCCCCAGAAAGCCGTTTTCAAAGCAGCAATGGGAGAAAAGGTCAGGTTTTATAACAGCTCATTCAGAATGAGAGTCCACTTCCAGGGGGCTGTGGGATGGGCCGCTGGGCCACCAAGTGCCCATAGCACTTTCCAGCTTCCTCCCTCCGCCCCTCCCACTCCACAGAAATGCCACTGGCTTAGAGTAGCAGGACAGTGGAGGCCACACCCCAAGACAGGAACTTGTCCCTAAAGAACTCAGAACAGGGGAGGCAAAACGTCTAGGAAGGACCCCCGCCAACACTGACTCCCATGGACCCTGATCCTCTGCCCAAGTCTGGAGGGGCTCCCCTTAGGCCTGTGAACCTCTTTGTGCAACCACCATCTACCTCCCCATCTTGGAGCCCCTCCCCCAGGAGGAAAGAGATGCACTCAGGATCCCCTCTTCCCAGGCAGGCTGGCTCCCTATAGCTACACGGCCAGCCAGGATGACTGAAGCAGCTCCTAAATGAGCAGCCGTGTGCTCCTTCAACACACACACACACACACACACACACACACACACACACACACACACACACACACTGAGGTTCCTGAGGTTGCCCTCCGGAGCACCTACTCTCTCCTTTCCGGCAGCAACTGGCCCAGGACTCTGGGTCACCCTTTCAAACACCCTCTTCTCCTCCCCAGCACCTGGACACCCGCACTCTCCAGAGCCGTTTCCAGCAGCCGAGATTTCACACAGCATAGCAGAGGGCGAAGGGCGTGAGAATGAATGCGCTGATGGGCTGGGGTTCAGGGCCATGAGGAAGCCCCTCTTCCTTGTCCTGGAGGGGTGGGGGTTTACAGAATGGTCTTTGTCTAGGCCCCTTTTCCTCCTGCAACCCTCACCTTCTGCACCCAGAAAAACAAACTTTGGCCTCCTCTGCCCCTCCTTCCCAGGCTACAGGGCCTGGCTCCCGAGGTGGAGGGGAGCAGAGGCAATCCTGAACCGCTAGCTGCTCAGCCCTGCGCCACCCACCCGCTCACCTGCACACCAGGCTCGGGTCTGGCTGGATAAGAAAGCCAAGGGTAGGGAGAAACTTGCCAAGTGTTCCATGGAGTGGGGAGACGGGGTGCATTCTCCAGAGGTTGACTAGCAGATGTGGGACATATTGGGGTTCCCCGCAGATATCCAACCTGCAGCTCCTGCACAAACCCTGGCCCTCGGCTGCGATCCACTCGGACACCGATTGGGAAAGGTGGGACACACAAGATTTTTCTCCCCTCCCTCTTCTCTTCCAGATCGAGTTAGGGTTTTTTTTTTTTTTCCTTAAGTTGCTGCAATTCGAACCCATTATTTTGAGGGAAATAAGTGTCATCACAGTGTGCGTGTGTATACGCGCGTGCGCGCGCGCGTGTCTGTGTGTGTGTATGCGTGTGTCTGTGTGAGTGTTGTGTGTGTGTTGTGTGTGTGTGTGTGTGTGTGTGTGTGTGTGTGATTTGAATGTTGGAAGGTTCCTTCCCAATCCCCACCCTCCCCAGGCGCAGCCAGCCGAGGCTCTGGTCCCTCCGCCCGCGTCCACGCTGCCCTCGGTTCGCCCGAGCTCCAGCCAGGCTCGCCCCTCCGCGCGCGCTCTCCTCGCTCTCCTCGCCGGTTTCCTGCGGCGCCAGCCCCGCTCGCCGCCCCACCACCACCACCAAGTCCCGGCTTTTTGCCGGCGCCTGAGCGCGCAGCCGTCCTCAGGTACTCACCTAAAAAGAAGAGGAGGCAGAAGGTGTTTGCCAAGATCATGTTAAATAAATCCCACAGTTATTTTGTCTTTCTCCCTTAGGTTAAAAAAATGAAATAAAATTTTAAAAAATAGTAAGAGCCAAGCAGTGGTAATCAGCCCCGAATCCAATGCAGAGATCCCAGCCAGTCCGCCTGATGATATCCTGAGTCCTGCGATCCTTGCCTCTGGCTGGAGGGGGTGGGGTGAGAGGCGGGCGGTGGGCTGCCCCTCGACACCCTCCTTGCCCACCAAAACCAGACACACGTCGCTGGTTCTGGCTGCTTTCTAAGCCCACTGTTGGTCCTGAGGTCAGCCTTTCCTTCCAGTCGTCCGGGAAGGCACGGGTCCCGGAGGGTCCAATTCCCCTGCGCTTCCCAGAAGGGACCTGGGGAGGTGGGGGCGAGGCGATCGGAGAGTGAGGAGCTGGAAGGAGGTGGCAAGGGAGGGGGTCAGAATAAACGCAAATCGGAAAGAAATCCACCGACGGGTGTGAGCGCCAGCAACAATCCGGTCGGAGCTCCGAGGACAGAGACGGAGTCGCTTCGCACCAAGACGAAGAAAAGATTCAAAGAAAAATCCGCTAACCTTTGCTCGCTCACTTTTTTCCTAATGGAATTCCTGTGGCCGTGTGTCTCTGCGCGCGTCTTTCCTCGCCCGCCCTCTCCGCTCCTCTCCTCTCCCTCGCTCTCGCTCTCTGCTCGCGCTCTCTCCAGCTCTCCCTCGCTCTCCGCTCCCTCTCTGCTCCCCCCTCCCTGCTCCTCCCTCCGCCCGCCCCCTCCCCCTGCGCGGCTCCCTCGCCGCTGCTCTCGCGCCCGCGCCCCTCTCCTCCGCCCGGGGCTCTGCGCTCCGGCTCCCAGGCGGCTGGCGGCGCGGGGCGCGGGAGCGCGGCGGAGCAGCGACACTCCGCAGCGGCGGCAGCGGCGACTAGGCGGTAGTGGTGGCGCCGGGGGAACGCTAACCGGAGGGAGAGTTCCACCGCTGCCTCCCTCTGCTCAGCCGCGCTCCCTTACTCGGACTGAGCTGCTGCCTGAGCCGGAAACTGACCGGCTTCCAGTGCTACAGCTTAAGCTCAAACCCACCGAAGCCACCACACCCTCCTGCTGGCCCCAAAGAGCCCCCTTCCTGGCCGCGGAGAGGCTGAGCTCGCCAACTCCCACTGCCTCTGCCTCTGCCTCTTCCCCTATCCCTGTCCCTGCTCTGCGCCCTGGGCCAAAGGGTCTCGGAAGCCTGGAGAGCCTGAGCCAGGCTGGAAAGCGTAGGGTCCCTAGAAGCCCCAGCCATCCGGTGATGTAGGGGGCAGGGCACTGGAAACCCCCGACCTGCTAGCCAAGATCTGGGAGGGGCCTCCACCCTTCTCGGGTGTTGTGTCCCTTAGTCAGAAAGCTGAAGCAGAACGTGTCCCCAAGGTATCAGGGGACGAAGGACATCCTGTGGCGCCAGCACCCTGCGCCTGCGAGCCCTGCGCCGCCTGCCTGATCCAGTCTAGCTCCTGCGCGCGCGCGCACGTGTGTTCTCCACGCAGACGTGGGAACTTTCCCAGCGCAGCGCTGCGCTCTGGCTCCTCACATACCCCAGCCTCGGGGCCCTTCGAGACTTCCGTTTCTCGGTTGATCTCCCCCCTCCTGGATCCAGGAGAAGGCTTCGAGGACAACGCACCCTGGCTGTTTCCTCCCAGGCCTGCAAATCAGCCCGAACTGCGCCGGAGTGATGGCACTGACTTGCACACACCCCCCACCCCCCTCCAGTGGGTGCGCTCGGGACCGACTCCAGCAGGTCTCAGCACCAGGCTCAGTGGCCTCCGGCCCCTGCCCCAGCCTGCTTGCGCTCAAAGGCCCACTGGGCCTTGAGGAGCTGGTCCCAGAATAGCTGGCAGCTCCCAGCTCTGGAATCTCCTGTGAGGACCCCTCTCAGCCGCCGAGGAGTGATTGATCCATCGAGGGGGCGATTGCTCCATCTGTCGATGAGTCGGGCGCACCGTGTTAAAACGGAATTTACAATAAAGGCTCAGAAGCGCCTGGCTGGGAAAGGGTTGGAGAAGTGAGGCTGTTGCCACGTTCCGGCAAAGATCAGACCGAGAGAGGCGATGGGGCTGCAGCCGCGCGGGTGCACACGCCGCGGCGCACGGCGCGCACGGGGCACCCCAGCTGCACACTTCCTTCTGACACACCCTCGGCTAGGAAGAGCCGCCCGGGAGCCCCGGGCTTTCGCTCCCACATTCCTGGCGCGCAGCTCCAGGCGCGTAGCTCACGCACCGCCTGGGGAGGTGTGCGCACAGTCCCTCCCAAACTTTCCGCGCTGCCCAAAACCTGATCTGCGCTGCATCTAAGGTGTGTCTGAAAGTGCCTTTGGAGATGCATGCTTTTAAATAACAGGACTGTGTGACAGAATAAATGGTAGGAATGGACTTGGCTCGAGGGGAGGGGTCAATCGCAAAACCTGCAGCCTTAGCTGGCGGAAAAGCTAGAGGGAGCAACCTCCATCTTGTGGATTTAGGCGGGAACGCGGCTTCTCCAAGCCTTTAAGTGCAAGGCCCACGCGGGGTCCTCCGAATGTTCCCTTTTATTTGGGCTTTCTGAGACAGTGGCCCTGGACCCCTGCCTGCATCCTCTTGCCCTAACGGTCGGTGGTGCCTCCTAGAGACGCCCTCTAGAGATGCCTCGCTGGTTGGGTAGTGGACGCTCCTGGGCAGGCACAGAAGACCCAGGAAGAGACGGCCCGGAGCTGCGGGGTGCCTCCTTCGGATCTGCCTTCTCCTTGCCTTTCCAGTTCCAGAAAGCGACTTTACATCCACCAAGATCTCCTAGTATCAGTCCAAAAATTGGAGAACTTAAGGGCCTGGCTTCAGACAAGTTTAAGTTAAAAATTGAAAAAGCAATAGTTATACTGTCAGGGAGTCTTGGACCAATGGTCAGAGCCTGGAGGCCTGGCCTTTGAAAACTAATTAAGTAAAAGAAATAAAAACCTTTCAGCCTACCTTCGCCTATTCCCAAGGTCTTCCAGTGGTCCAAATACTGTATGTGTGTGGAAAATGCATTGCACCGCAGCTGAATAGGAGAAGTGAGTTCTGTGAAGCCTACGGGAGCTCTGCTCTCTCTCCCTTCCAGTGAACAGGCTGAGAAGGCAGCAGTGGACACCCAGGGGAGGCTGGTACTGAGTTCCATGGGAACTGGGACAAAGATGCTAGTCGCAGGAGGCCAGGGGCTGGAGATGCTTTAGGGACTTCGAACCACCCAGGCCTCACAAGAACAATGAAGAATAGCCACCATCACTAGCATTCAGCTTGTTGTGACAACTTGAGCTTGGACCTCTCTCCCTCCAGTCTGTACAGAGGCCTCCCTTACCCAGCCAACCCCAACCTTCACCTGAGCTGCCTTTGGGTATGGCATAGTTCAGCACTGCACCATTAGTCCCTCTGCGGCTGCTATGCATGGGACATCCCTCACCTTGTACCAGGATCTGCACTGGAAAAGCTACTAGCTGGGGCCAATTTAATCTCTCTGAACATTAGTCATCTCGTCTGTAAAATGCAGAAGAAAGCAAAGCAAGTCTTGTGGAAATTAGATGAGATACTACACACAAAGTAGCTAACACAGTGTCTGCCTGGCTCCCCCCTTCTCACCCCCAGGGATCCAGGAGGAGAATGATGAATGTCTGACAGGCAGCAAAACCCAAATGGCAAATGGCAAAGCAGAGATTTAAAAGCGATGGAAGTGTCAGGCATGGTGACCCATATCTGTAACCCCAGTTACTCAAGGAGACTGAGACAGGGAGAATGGAAGTAACAGGCCATCCTGGGTAGCAAGAACCTGTCTCAAAATAAGATTTAAAAACAGCCAGGGATGTAGCTCAGTGGTAGAGCCCTTGCCTAGCACGTGCAAGGACCCGGGTACAATCTCTCAAGGCAGTAATACACTTTCACACACCCTCCAGGACCTCTGTCCTGCATCCTGATGGACCCCCCCCCCAGCTGCTTCTGGCTCACAGGCAGATAAATCTGCCCACCCAGGCAGCAACCCCTGCCCCGTGGTGATCTGGAGTTGTGCCAGAGCAGATAAAGAGAATACTGAGGCCTTGAATTCCTGCCCCTTTCTCTCCTCTCTCTCTGGTTCCTCTTGTCTTTTGGGGGTGCTTCTCTGGAGGAAAGCAGCAGGGAAGCAAAAAGGCCACCCCTGCACATGAATGGCACATGTATGGTGGCCCCCTGCCCAGTGACCAGATTCTCATTTCCACCTTTCCTTTGGTAGAGGGAGGAGGTCCAAGGGTTCCCGTGGCCCCAGGGTGGAAATTCACCTGGACCGAAAAGCAGGTGCTCTCCCATCCAGCTCTGACCTATCGGGAACCAGGCAGAAGTGCTCTTGGCCATGGGACAGCATCCTGCCCCAGGCATCCCACCATCCGTCAGCCAGCATGGATTTATTGACTGTTTTCTCTGTCCCCAGCACAGTGCCGCAGGCTACGAGGAGTAGGGCAGGGACACACAGGCCGGGGAAGCATTTAGAGATGGAGTTGGTTGTATACCCATGAAAAGACAGTGAACAAGACATGCGATACAACTTGTCAAGGTCATATGTTAAGTGGTGAGTTTCAAACCCAGGAAACCAAATTCTAAAGTCCCTCACTGATCAGTTTTGGGCCTTATGCAAATAAGCAAAGTGATAGATCTCCCAGTACAAATTTTCGTATCTGGGTTAAGAACATCTGAGATAATCCCCATCCCCAGCAACACTGAAACAATCACAAGGCTCAAGTCCTTTTGTGTCTAGACCATGGACATTGCCTGGCCTCATCCTGGAGTTCAAGTCTAGAGGTGACACGGGGTCCTATCTGCAGGGCACGCTGCACAGGCCAGCTCTGCATCCTAGCCTGAATCATCCCTAGGTTTTCCAGCATCTTCCACTGGTGCAGGCTGTCCCCTCACCACCATTCTCTTGGCACAGGGTCACTGCCCATCCCTGTGGCCCAGCCCATTCAGCCCACTAGGGATGACACCACCTGACATTTAACTAAACCACTGGGTTCCCAATAAGGGAGTGGGGCTTCCTGGTGGGGTGGGTGCGACCAGGCTGGCGGGGGAAAAATGCAGGCTGCTCTCAGTGGCATTGATTTCTCTAATTGATTTCAGTCAATGTTCTCACTGCACATCATTCCCTTCAGAGGGAGGCACCAGCAGGAGGTGGGAGCTGGCCTTACTTATTCTCTCCCCAGGGCCCCAGAACCTCTGCATCCCCACTCATTCCAGGGAGCCCCAGGCTCCAGGGTGAGGAATCTGCCAGTGCTGCAGCTTTTTTTAGGGAGCCCGCAGATCAAGGCCAACTGAGCAGGGTGTGGTACCTCACAGCTGCACAGAGCACCAGCATCCACATCAGCACTGGGCTTGGACATCTTTACAACTTCCTGGGAGTCTGGTGAGGCAAATCAGCTCATTTACTAAGTGAACAGACTCACAGTCCATACAATGGGCAAGGTCACAGTGTGGCCAAGGACTGGACTGGAAAGGGGGTCCTCCTCCTCCTTTCCCTGGGCCAGTGAGCTTTCCATTCCTCTTCCAGAAGGAAAGAAAGAGAACACAAGAGAAGGGGAAAAGAGAAAGCAAGGAGGGGAGAAGAAGTCAGTCGTCCACCAAGCTGCTGGACTTCTCCTCTACTTTCTTCCACAGTGCGGGACCAGGAAGGCAGGGAGAAAGCACCCCAGGCAGTGTAGGACATTGTCAGTATCACCCAGGAC